GCTTTGACATGCCTTCCTTGAATTTGATCCATAAAATATAAGTTTATTTGAACAGGATGTGAATTAGCGAAGAATCGTGGGAGGTTGAAATAAATATGTCATGGGATGACCCAACTACTTCACCTTTGGAAACTTTCTTGTGCATTCCTATTAGAATGAGTCTCATGCAAATATGCAATAATGGACCAAGATTCCTCTATTGTATCGTCAGATAGAGTCAAAAGTCACAAGTACCATAACTCGACTTGTCAACCCAATCCCACATTGTAATACAAAATTAATCAGAGTCAGTAAATTTTCAAATATTATATAACTAAGTAATAATATGGCAGAATAGCCTAATAAATACTTCTACTTGTCCCGTTTTGTCATCCCGATTTCGATAATCTACAAAGTTTTATTCAGACACTCGTAGTTTTTAAAACACATTACTTTAAACCCCTCCAGCCTCGCGTGTTCTTCAAACACACGATGTGAATGGCACATCATAGTCCACATTAGATTTTTAATGACACATCATTCTTTTTTTAAGTTTACTTTCAAAAATTTAATTTTTTTTCCTTTTTTTCGCTCTACTCCTCCGCACCCTTGACCAACTATTGAAAACATCAAACATGGTATCTTTTGTCTTACATTCGTCTCTTTGATAGTCAAACTTGTCCCTCCATCGTATGAAACAAGGCGCTTTTACCAAAAATCAACTTCGTTAGAGAGCCATAAGCTTGCAATGGATCCCTTAAATTGGTTTAAACTCGTTAATCCGAGATCCTTAAACCAAGTAGCTGAAGCTAAGGAATCTTGGTAGATAAGCTGCTTGAACACAAAAAGAGGAAAAAAAACCAAGACCTCAGATAACCAAGAGGAATAAGGAAATGTAGACAACTTCTCTCCCATTAATAAATGAAGATATTAGAACATTTTTCAAAATTTGAATCTTGGAAAGAGGGGAATCTAATCCTACACCCTGAATATTACCATCTTTACCGGCGGCAGCACCACGGTGGACAACTAAACTGGATCTTCAATACCTCACCATAAATTGTCCAAAAAATTAGATTTTCAGCTTCTCTCATCAAATAAAATTCCACCATTCACCATTAAATATCCACTCCACCACCTGAGAATCTATTAGTCCTGAAATAATTGTTACCCAAACCAGATTCAACACCGCCAATAGACACAGATCTAATTCATTTCAGAAATATTAATGGTAATTGCTCTTCTAAAAAAATTTACTACTACTTTTTTCTCATATATTGACAGAAGGTTTGTGAAAATGGGGAGGGGAATAACGGGAAAGGAATAAGGGGAGAAAGATAAAAGAAAAATGGAGGAGGGGAATAACGGGAAAGGAATAAGGAGAGAAGAGAAAAGAAAAATGGAGGAGGGGTGGGGAAAGAACGGGAAAGGGAAGGGTAGAAAGAGAAAAAGAAATGGGGGAAGGGGCGGAGGAAAGAAGAAAGAACAAATATATTTTATTTTTTATTATATTATTTTTTTTGTCTTTTACATTTATTTTTTATTTTTATTTTTTCTTCTTATTTTAATCATTTTTAGTCTAACTTTTTTATGTTTACTCTCGTTATACGTGTGAAGTTCACGTATTTTGTCCAACTCGGTCGTAAAGTTGCCACGTATGTTTGGTCAACGGTTAGAGAGGTTTAAAGTAATGTGTCTTAAAAATTATGAGTGCCTAGATAAAATTTTTTAGAGTATCGGGACTGAGATAACAAAACGGGATAAGTAAAAGTGTTTATTAGGGTATTCTGTCTAATAATAAAAAGAGACTGAAATTGCAGTTTAGCACCTCTATGGTTCCAGTTATTGTCCAACGGAAGACTTTGTGAAGAGGTCAAAGTCTCCGCCCGGCTTCTATTGCTAGCCATTTGTTCTGACTTTTCTCCCACAGGCCACAACCATGCAAGTCGATACACATCAATTCATTTCATTGGTATTCTTTTAATATGTTCTCATTATTGTTGAATGTTGATTAGTCAACCTTCTGAGAGTCACGCATTTGCGCATTATCAAGTCCCTTAAACACGTAATTATAAACAATTTAAGGTTCTTGTTTGCGTATAATTTTTGCTGTTTTGTTTTTAGTTATTTGAACATACAGCCAAAACAATGTGGGGTGAGGGGCGTCAGTTTTATATTTCGTCTATCGGAGGGAGGGAGCCGAGGGTCTATCGCAATCAGCCTCTTTATCCATGGTAGAGGTAAGGTCTGCGTACACACTATCCTCCCCAGACCCCACTAGTGAGATTATACTGGGTTGTTGTTGTTGTTATTGTTGTTTCAATTGTTAAAATTTGAATGGCAGTATCAAAAAGTTAGATTTAGATAGGTTCTGTTAGCAATGATTGAAATCTTACAATTTGAATTGTAGCCTTAAAAATTGAAATTTACCCACTACTAACTTCTTAAAAAACATGGAGGGTATTTAATTAGAGCTTGGAATGCGACTCATATCTTGCAACTTATGAAAGTCATTTGGAATAATTTCGAAATAAAATTATACCTAGGGAATTCTCCTCTTATAAAAATTAATATTTTGTTTTCAATTAAATTCACATATATGAGAATGTAATTTCAATTTTTCTTTCCTTTCACTGTATTCCATTTTCTACAAATAGACCTATACTCTGCGTACTATTAAACAGACACGTATGCGAATTTTAGTATTTTTGTTTACTTTCTTTTCGATGTCTTCATTCTTCTCCAAGAAGAAACTTACACTATTTCTCATTTTTTTGACTCTTAAACTAATACTGACTAAACTTAGTCAAATTTGGTTTTATTAGTTTCGCCCTTAAAGGAACCATGAGATGCTTTTATTCGTCAGCATTTAATTAATGGAACCCCCATTTTTTAAAATATGTGGCTTTAAACATCAAGGTGTGTTTCGTATAACAGAAAATATTTTTTCATTTTTCACTGTTTGGTTGCACACAATAGTTTGGAAAATATTTTCCTAGATATCACATTTTCCTGAAATTGAAGGAAAATGACTTTTCTAGAAAAAGTTAGGAAAATATTTTCCAAAAACTCCACCTACCCTCACATCTAAACCCAATCCCTCCTTCTCTCCGCTACCCCACCTCTCCCACCCCCTCTCTCCAAACATTTTTTTTTTCCAATTTCAGTTTTTGTTTTCTTTNGAAATTTTACGAGTTCCAAAGTTATGAGTTTGGAGGTTTATGTGTTTGAAAGTTTGCGGGTTTAGAAATTATAAAATCTACAGGTTTGAAAGTTTAGCGGTTCGGAATTTTATGAAATTTGTGGGTTCGGAAGGTTGTTGGTTTGAAAGTTTATGGCTTCATGTTTACTGTATCTAAATTATTTATGAATACTCTTGAGAAGTTATTTTCCTTAATTTGCATACCAAACACCGAAAAATGAGTAAGATTACTACTTGTTTTCCAAGAAATTTTTTTTACGGAAAATATTTTCCTTTATACCAAACACACCCCAAGTTCTTGGTACTTTGTTGGACCACTAACTTTAGTTCTCTTGAATCTCCAATTTGGACTTGGCCAACATGCTTATGTCTTGTAGTTAAGTGATTTGTATATCATGAAGGAATGAGAAAATTTTTTATGTAATTTCTTTTTATCCGCTCAAGTTTTCGTTGTCGGAGTTATTTGATATTTATACCGATATAAAATAAAAGATCATACCTGATAAAATAATGGAGACTTGTGCAAATTAACTCTCACACCACCATTAAAAAAGGAAAAAAAAAAAAGTTAAGAGGGAAACATCAGCAACCCATAAACCATGAATTGATTTAAAGTGTTCTTTAAATGATCCTAAGTTATGTACTTAATTCCAGGAAGTAATAATGATCCTTCTAAAGTTTGTCATCCTTCACTTCTCATCACACCCAGCAACATTTTTTGCTTCAAAGCTTTATACTTTAGTTAATAATTAGTCGTTTAACCTTATATATTGTTTACCTAAATTTCTGTGGAATATATATGTCCTCCTTTTAAAAGAAAAAGAGTTCCTATGCAAATATTGGTTACCTAATATGTATCTGTTTTTCTTTACCTAGTTAATAGGGAAATAACAAATAAATATCTATGACCAACAAATAGCCAACTCACTGAAGTTTTAAAATCATGAAACTGCGATACAAGTTGTACCATATTGGTCATTGTTCTGTTCCAACTAATATTTAATCCAACTTAACGAATATAAATAACTATATTTTGAAATAAAAAGTAATACATTGAATCCTTGGCGTAGCAATTAATTTAGAAGATGGAGGTACGTCATACGTGCTTAGATCTAAGTGTTGATATGTTTTTAGCATAAGTACTAATATCCTTTCCAAATTAGTTTGTATTAAATGATTTAATATTTTGGTAATTAGTAATGTAAATAGTACTTTTTTTATCTTCAAAAGAATTTAGGTTTATAAGGTTGAAGGCAAGGTATAAAATTTTACAGTGAAATTGAATTTGATTTTTTAAATATTTTTCAACATATGTATTTAAAATATTTTTAATAACTATAATTAAAAATAATTATTTGAATTTTTTTTGTCTACAAAAAATTGTTTGATTCAATAAATATATAATAATAGTAATTGGAGTATTCGTTTTTGCACGTATCAACATTCCTGTCACCTTGAAAAAGAAAAATATTTGTCCAACATAAATAAACAAATAACCAGCCAATAGGAAGTACTTCATCCACGTCAGCGAATCAAAAGACCGACACATAGCAAAGCCAAATAAAAACCAGACACATCATCACCTGAAATTACTTTTAAAGTCCCTAATTTAATATGGGAAAAAAGTTCCTAGTTTAATACACTAATTAAACAGTTACGCTTTAAACAAAAAATATTTAAAAAGTTACTACTTTAAAAAATAAATTTATTCCCTTATTAATCTTCGACTTTAACCATATTAGTAGATTACTAATAATCCAACCTTAAACAGACTTTTATATAGGTAAAAGGAGTAAATAAAAGCAATTCTACCTCTTTTGTGCTTCTACTTTTCCCCCCTCTTTCTCTGTGTCATTAACACAAGTTTTTTGCTTAGCGCTTCACGAATTTTCTTCTCCCTTTCACAGCTCTTTCTTGCTTCTGTTTGGTTCTTTTTACATATTTATAGGTACCCAGAAGGTTAATATTAGCTAACAGGTCTTATAGTAGCTAAACCCAAATTCTTTTTCCCTTGAAAATCACTCTTGTTCTGTGATTCTTAGGCTTCCATTTCTTGTTTCTGTTCAAGATTTTTCTGGGTTTTGCTTATCATTACAGGTACTTTCTGAAACACCCTGCCTTTTGCATTTATGTGTTAAAAAGGTGTAATCTTTGTGTGCTTTTGTGTCTTGTGTTGATGGGAACTTGTTTCTTAGCTTTGTGCTTTTGTGTCTTGTGTTGATGGGAACTTGCTTATGATAATTAAATTTCTTTGTCTGTTTTTGGACCTAACTTGTGCAGAGGAGAATATATTTTAAATTTTAAGAAAGTATAGTTGTTTCGTATTGATAGATAGGTTAGTTTGTAAAATACATTGAATGTGAGGGACGAGTAAAATAAGACTCATAGTGGCTTGTTTTTGGGGACACAGAATTGAGGAATTGAAATTAGCTTAGTGCTTGATCTATTGGTTGTGTTCAAGTTGATATAGTCAAAAGCTAGGCACATGACCAATTGACTTTGCAGAAGTGTGTATCATGTTTGGTCTTTGCTGGGATTTAAGGTTTCTAATATTCAAATTCATTGGAGGCAATCTAGTGTAGGAGGAAATAATTTGCAGTTCTATATTGATTAAGAAACTTTTACCGTTTGAGTTTGTGTGTTGAGAAGGAGGAGGGTGAGATGCTAAGAGCTTGAGGCAAGGTAGTTAATTTCTAATTTGAAGCTAAAGAAGAGAGGCTCATTAGCTTGTTCACCTTAACTTTTTTGTTTGTTTGTTTGTGTGGGTGCATCTTAACTTTTTAATTGCAGAAGGATCTTACTTTTCTTTTGATATTTCAGGTTCTCCGTCCCATTGTTATGTTCGTTCGACTGAAAGGTGGTAGCTAATAAACTTACTTGGGATGCAGTAAAGCTTATTTGACTAGTTTGGTTGTACTTATTGATTCAGATACTGTATTTAACATGAGGAATTTTGGACGCGGGTTCGTGATCATGGAATTTTACTTGTGATCATACCAAGTGTTTGATGTTGTCTATTTCATAATAGTTTCTCTAACTTGAAGTACGTTCTGCAGCTCCAATTCCTTAATGTCAGCTGAAACTATGAGGCTTATTGTCTCCATATGTTGTGGAATCATATTTGGCTTATTCATAGGAATTTCATTTCCTACTAGCTCATTAACCAAGGTATAGATTGATAATGCCCTCCTTGTTCATACAATCATATAGTGATCAATTTCGTGCAGTGCTGTAATTTCATTTGTATATAAAATACTTCTTTTGGTTCCGATTTTTCAGCTAAATATAACAGCCAGTATTGTAAGCAACTTCCCAATTGCTAGAGACAGAAATAATATTGTTTCAGCCCAAAAGCATGCAGATTCATCGTCTAATACTATGGACATTAGCAATCAGAATGCGACAGGTCAATTGCAGGTACATCCTTGCTACCACGAAATTGATTTAAAGGTCAAGATTTAGGGCTTTGGCCACCAGTATGAACTAGTATTATTTTGCTGCAATTGCTTAAAATATTTGTTCTCGTATGCCTTCTTTCTTGCAGTTCTGCCAGAAGTGACAATTTTATAGGTCAAGATATTAACTTATCATGTTTTCAAGTATGAAATATTGCAAGAAGAAAAATGATTTAATGCGAAGACACGTGTGCAAACACCTATCCTTATGTAATACGCATCCTTCTAAGAATACTAAAGGAACTTATTCTTGCTAATTTTCTTTATCAAGAGTTTGTATGCAGATTGAGTGAAAAACACTTCCCCTAGATCCCTGCTTGAGCTGAATATATGGTCATCAACACTATTTCTGAAGCTAAACATTCCAAATTCTATCGATTATCAGAAAAATTCTAAAGTTCTAGCCTGTCCTACATAGCAAGTTAGCTACTGATAGCAATTCATATAAATCTCCAACACCTTTTCGTTTTTCAATGTAACATGAAATTGCATTTCCAGTAGATGTTTTTGCATCATTTTTAAGTAAACAGCAGACATATGTTTGCTTTAGTTAGCATTAATAGTTACGGAAAATCAGTCGAGGTTAGATGATTGAAAAAATGTCTTCTTTAGTCCTCAAGTTTAAGCATTTTGCATGTTTCAGTCAATACTTTCTATCAGTGGCAGTGGCAGAATTACCTCTGACTGGAATCTTTTAACATGTCTTCATTTCTTGATTGTTCTGGATTTAACAAGTCTTATCCCCTTTATCTACTACCTCTTAAACGTTATTCTTGCTTTGTTTTGCACATTTTTCTGCTTCTTTCAAGTGCTGTTTAATCAACCTTCTTCATCTTTATCTTCTTTGCTTCATGTGTGTGACTGTGTTTGATGTTTGAGATTATGCAAGCAAATATCTTAAAATAAAAGCACATTTTCCATCTGATAGTCATCCTTATTCTTATCAGATTTGGGTCCAATCAAACCCAAGAGGGGCAGAAAGATTACCTCCAGGGATTGTTAATTCTGAGTCCGACTTCTATCCCCGGAGATTGTGGGGGAAACCTAGTGAGGTAAGTGTAACATTGAACTTGCATATCACAATTGCTACTTGTTGCATGAGCTAGAAGCATAATATTCTCTTATAAGGTAAAATAAAATTAGATGCAGCACTTGTAGCTTTTTGCCTGTTACTTTTAGGATCAAACTTTGTCCAAATATGGTAACCCATCTCCGTCCTGGGTTGACTTTGATCTAGAAAAAATCTGAATCTTTTCCTTAACAAACTATATCACAAAATTTGATTTATTTGCTCCCACTAATCCAGATCAAGGCAGTTGTGATTTGCAAACCTTAAGAATGAGGACATTGTACTGACAATCCAAAATAAAAATTGGGGAGAGGCATCTTATTATTGTATTTTATCTGCAGGACCTACCCAGCAAGCCAAAATATCTGGTAACGTTTACTGTTGGTCTTAATCAGAAGCATAACATTGATGCTGCTGTAAAGAAGGTATATCAATATGTTTCCTTTTGTAGGCTCCTCCCCACTCTCTATTCAATTCCTCACTCATCCTTACAATTTTTCCTGTACAGTTCTCTGACGACTTTACAGTTCTTCTTTTTCACTATGATGGCAAGACGACTGAATGGGATGAATTTGAATGGTCAAAACGAGCCATCCACGTGAGTGTTCAGAAACAAACAAAATGGTAAGTAATATGATAAAGTAATTCTGGACTGGAACTATGATCAACTTTAAACCATGTTAGTGACAAGAAGTTTACCTCTTTATAAGGTGGTATGCAAAAAGGTTTCTGCATCCGGACATTGTCGCCCCATATGACTATATTTTTATCTGGGATGAAGACCTAGGAATTGAGCATTTTGATGCCAAGGAGTAAGTATTTTGTAATTTCCTGTGTTTAACAGCTGATTTGACCCAATATCTTAGTTTCTCTAAATTCGTTGGTCCAACCCCAGGTACATTAGACTTGTCAAGAAGCATGGTTTGGAAATTTCACAGCCAGGTTTGGATCCCAGGAAAGGAACAACATGGCAAATGACAAAGAGAAGAGGTGATCGTGAAGTTCACACGTAAGAACCAGGAATCCCATGATATTATTTATCTACCGAGTCTTGTGTCTTTTTAAATGTTTTATACTTGGTATTTAGATTTCCCTCTGCTTATTCTTTTTCTTTTCTTGATTTATCTGATCAGGATAACAGAAGAGAAACCAGGCTGGTGCTCAAACCCCCATTTGCCTCCATGTGCAGCGTACGAATAGTTCTCCTGTTTGCTTGTTTGTTCAGTTCCTTTTTTTTTTCAATAATTATATTTTGTTTCAGTTCTTAAGTATTCCTTACCATGTAATCTTCTCTGTTTTCAGATTTGTAGAGATCATGGCTCCTGTCTTCTCCCGAGATGCATGGCGTTGTGTATGGCATATGATTCAGGTATCTACCTTGCATATTAAACATGGAGAAGGTCTTGACTTTGTGCTTTTTTGAGATTGACTCTGTTGTTTTATGACTTGTAGAATGACTTGGTCCATNTTCTGTTTTGAAGCCTGCTCATGAGAAAATTGGAGTTGTAGATGCTCAATGGATTGTTCATCAAGGTGTCCCTTCCCTTGGGAATCAGGTAACAAGATGAAGTGAATATTGCCATCTACTTATCCATTCCCACACCTTAGTTTGACATGTAATCTGCTAGTTGGTAAAAGTGGAGCCAATCCTTGCTTGTATAAATTGATTTTGGAAGCATATTGAAAAACATGATAAAACCTATAGCCATCTTTAAGTTATGCCAAAGGAAGTAGACTTGTTTATGCTATTATTGGCTTTTACACCAAAGTGACCACTTTTTTTCCTTTCCTCATTCCCTCTATACAGGGGCAATCAAAAGACGGGAAGGCTCCATGGCAAGGGGTAAGTAATTCTATGTTACATTTGTTATATAAGTACCCTGAGTTAGCCCCAGTCCCCCCCCCCCCCCC